GCAAGAAAGTGATGGTGCTCAATGGTGGATACAGGGGAAATGAAGGTATCTTGGAATCCATCAATGAGAAGAGGTTCTCAGTGACAATCACCATTGACTCTGTAAGTATCAAACACTGTTAGGTCCTGTTTGTGGAGAGCTTTCCATCTGTACGTGGAGAGCTCTCACAAAGAGCAATGCTCTCCCTAATCCTGTCTTACAGGGGAGATTTATGATGTACAAATTCTGTGGTCACCTCCCACCCATTCCCAACCAGTAGGAAAATAGCCACATATTCCCCATGGCAGAGACTAATGCTCTGCTGTTTGCCTTGATGTTGAAGTTAGCAAGTTTTGATCTTGAAAGAGACTTGGAAAATATTTTGTATTTGTTTGTTTTGAACATGGCTGTTGTTTTGTTTTGTGGGAAGGCCAAAATGTGCCCTATGCAAGGAGGAGGTGAATTTTCTCCTGCCTTTTCTGGACTGAACGTGGGGGTTTATGTCCTTATTTGTTGTCTTGTTCATGGTCAACAGTTGTTGTTGTTTTTTTAGGGTTTGGGCTCATTTGTTTGTTCTGGTTTTTTACATATCACCTTTCTCTGGGCTAAAATCAGGCCATGCCATCACCTCTCTGTGGCTCCTTCTTTGTTCTCCTCTGCAGAACCAATCTTTAAACTCACTGATAAAGTTGAGAGGATGTTGGCTCAGGGTCACATTTCTTCAGCATGACTTGCAGGAGGGAGACCCTGTTAGATCCCATTCAAAGAAGGGCTGCAGGACCTCAGCCCAGATTGGATTTGCTTGGGAGGAGATGTCCTTAACCACAGAAGGAGATTTGGCTGGAGCTAAGGATCATGTAAATGTTGGTCTTGGAAAACAGGGGTGGTTTTTCTCTAGCTCTCATGCTTGTAGGTGTTGGGATTTCCCTTTCCTGCATGAACTCTGAGTCTGTAAATTAAAAATGGGTGAAGCTATTCCTGGAAACAGTGAAGAGTGTGAGGATTTTCTCACTGACCATAGGGTGAGCAGGTTTTTTTTATAGACAAGAAGTTTGTATTCCAAATTAAACCTTTTACTGCCTATAAATTCACAGCAAATTAGTTCAAAACAGCTGCTTGTGTTTGCCCCAAAATTGCAAGGACTTTAACTCACACAAAAAGTGTCCTGAAAGCAAAAGGATTTCTGGGACAGCGTTGAGGCCTTGTCACGTTTTCTGATCAGGCTGAAAATAATGAAACAGGAAATATTGTGTCATGAGCAAATCCCCTTTAGCTCTCTTACTATAGACTCCCTATTGGGAATTCAGCAAAAAAATCCAAATTTATATTGTGATCTTATTTCTTCCACTCTGTGATTCCCCAGGGACCTTTAAAAGGACGCAGAGTTGAAGATATCCTGTATGAAGACGTTTCCAAACTCGCCTGAGCTGCTAATCATGGATCAGAGAAGATTTTGGCTCCCCAAACCATTTTTCTGACATCTTGCAGGCAGACACAAGACTCTACCATGTCAGGGTTTTAATTGTGTGTGTGTATTTATAATGTACATAGAAATTAACCACAAGCAAACTTTATTTAAAGATCACTGTGGATTTGTTACGTGAAATGTTTGTGAAAAGTCTTATCAGTTTAAATGTTTCATCTGATTCTATAGCAAAAGAATATTTGCTTCAATTTCCTTCTGTACAACATAGGAGAGAGGTGCAAGCTGAAGTATTCATTTCCTGAGGTAAGGGAGCAGGTCTGGAAGAGAGAATTACCCACAGCCTAGCAGTGTGTGTTGGAGCCAGAGCAGTTTAAACAACACACTCAATCTACAGCCAAAACAAAGCTCTGGCTGCAGGAACAAGGGAAGAGATTAAGGGAATAGCAGGAAGGTGCCAGTGCTGCAAGGGATTATTTCCTGGATGCTGTAAGAATGGACTGGTTTATTAAGTGCTGTCACCAGTTTAGTTCTGATCAACACATGGGTGGTAGCAGAATGCAAGTCATGTTTGCCAGAGTTCCTGATCCTCCAATATGCCATTTATCTTCGTGTGGATTCCATATGGAGTTACTCCATGGATGTTACTTGTGGGGTTTCTAGGCTGGCAGCTGCAGTGTGTGCAGATAGGAGTTGGTGCTTTCTCTTAGGTTTTCCAGAGCCTTTTTGTCTTTGTTCATGCTTCCATTGTTGCTCTGCTACATGAGTAACTTTACTTGTTCTAAATGATAGAGCTTTTTTATTTTTTTAAAACAATGTCACATTTTGTACAATGTTTAATTTCTAAGGCACTTCAGGAATAAACATGAACCTTTTATTAGGTCAGTGTATTTCTTATCAGCCTTTTAAACATGTGAGGTGTCCATTGGTTTCAGTCCACCAAGGAGCACAGTGAAGTGCTTGGTTGGTGCATCATATTAGTTGGGTAAAAAAAATAAGATGAAGGTTGTCCGGGGCGAAGTCCAGTCTGAAGGTTGTGTGTCTCTGGAACATTTTCCCTTCCCTTGCCTGCTGATTTGTGGTTTCCAAGGGACTCTCAGAGAGTCAGTGAAGACCTGGAGTAGACTGAAACAACCTCATATGGGACATTAGGTGACTTTCCAGGGATCACTGGTATAAAACCAAGGCAGGGTCATGTGGTAACTAAGCAGAGTTTTAAATCCAGGTCTAGGTACACACCCAGAGGCATATTTGTTTCAGTACTGATCTCATTTATTGCTCAATACTCCTGAAGAGTAAGGGATCTTTTGGGAGCTAAGCCCACTGGAAGGAAACTTTGAGTACTGGTGATGGTTTCTATATAGTCTGAACATTTCCTGCTTTCCCAGATTTGTATCTGTGCGTGAACTCCCCTGTCATGTTGAAATTTTCACCGGAAATAGTCTGAAGGCTGTCTCAGACTCATCTAATTAAGTTCCCTGTGATATTTATTGCAGCATCAAGGACCTTCCCCACCACTGGCTAACCCATCCTTAAACACTGGAGACTCCTCACGATCCTCATTCCAGAGCCCATGTTCCTTCTCTGTTCAATTTCCTTACGCATATCCTTCTTTTTGCCTGGTGTATGAACTTACACATTCTCAGCATTCTGCGAAAGCACAGGCACAAAATATCTGAAGTTTTTAATGGAATTTACAACCCATTAAATCAGACACAGCAAGGGCAAGACACCTCCTACAACCCAGCATGTCACTTTATTACAGATTTCATTCCTTAACAGAAAAGGGAGTTACAAGGCTTTGAAACACTGCTCAGGTACAAAGCAATCTGTGGAGGAGTCTCCTCCAGTCAGCCTGGTGTGACTCTGCTGCTCAGAGGAGTCGTTTGGGCATGAAGGAGCAGATAAGGATTTTCTTGTACTAAACTAGTTTTGTGTTGGAGCAGTCAGGGTTTCTTCATGAAGCTGTAGAGGTGAGGGACCAGGTAATCTCTGTAGTGGCCATCTATGAACCCTTTCCCACTGTTGTGCACAAACCAGCACAGCACGTCAGTCCCGAGCACACGGTCTGTCCTGTAGTCCTTCTGCACACCCCTGTGAGGGAGAGAGCAGCCAAAACAAGGGTCACAACAAGCAGACACTGATAAACCTGCTCAGTCATGAGCAGGTTTATCAGAGTCTTCAAAGGGGTGAGATGTGTTTTCCACCAGCACCAAGTGGAAACAACCACAAAACACAAAGAATATTATACAGTTCTATGACCCTGTGGACCTTTTGTGGGAGTTCCAAGCACTTTTATATGACCTGTCCCAAGCCAGATGTTGGGCAGCTAAGGACAGAACACGTCATGCGCACACCTTGGGGTCAGTTTTTGGTCACTCTAGGAAAGATATTGAGGGGCCGGAGTGAGTCCAGAGAAGGACAATATAGCTGGGAAAGGGTCTGGAGAACAAGTCTGGTGAGGAGTAGCTGAAGGAGCTGTGGGGGCTCAGCCTGGAGAAAAGGAGGCTCAGGGAGATCCTCCACACTCTCTACAACTCCCTGACAGGAGGTTGTAGCCAGGTGGGGTTCAGGCTCTGCTCCCAAGTGAAAAGCAACAGGACAAGAGGAAATGACCTCAAGTTGTGCCAAGGGAGATAAATATTTCCTTAGATATTAAGGAAAATTTCTTCACTGAAAAGGTTGTCAGTCATTGGAACAGACTGCCCTGGGAAGTGTTGGAGTCACCAGCCCTGAAGGGATTTAAAAGACATGTAGATGTGCTTAGAGACATGGTTTAGTGGTGGCCTTGGCAGTGTTGGGTTAAGGGGTGGACTCAGTTGAGCTTAGAGAAGTTTTCCAACCTAAATGATTCTATGAAATATAAAAGAACCCAATTGTTTTACCAACTGATAAATCCAGATTATTAGCAGCGGGAAAGCAGAGGGATTCCCCCCAAGATTACTTGAGAGTCAATAAACCTGCAGTCCCTGACATCATTAAAGAGAAGTCAGATATAGAAAGAGAGCAATAAAGCACATGATTCCTACCTGGTAACAGTGAACTTGTTGCCTTTCACTTCCATGATGGCTTGTGTTTTCTCTGGCTCTTGCCCAGGGCTTTGGTGGTGGATGTACACTTCTGGTTCAGATGCAAACTGACCTGATCAGAGAGAGGTTTAAAGCTCTTTGAATCTCCTGACTTTTGAGGCTCCATGTCAGCTGCTGCCAGGCACTTTTGGAAAATCAAACTAGTTCCAGCAGGCAAACCACTCCTGGATCATAGGACACCGAGTCTCCAGCACTGTTGGATCACCCACAGTGGGAGAGTAAAGAGCTCTACTGTTGAGCCAGCAAACTTCTTCTAAGAAAGCAGAATGGAGCTGCAAAGAGTATTTGGGAAAACAACCTCTGTCCCTCAGGATTCCCACATATCAAAAGGAGCCTTGCGTGGCTGAGCACTGGAACAGGCTCCTCAGGGAAGTCATGGCATAAAACCTGCCAGAGCTCAAGGAGCATTTGGACAATGCTTTTAGGCACATGGTGTGATTCTTGGCAGTGTCCCATGCAGGAGTTGGACTCAATGCTCCTTATGGGTCCCTTCCAGCTCAGGATATTTTATGAGTCTGTGATTCTATGAAATTCACCCAAAGATGTAGCAAAACCCCTTCCTAGTGCCCCACCACTCCCACCCCCTGACCCCAGCCTTTACCTATCAGCCCATGGGCTGAAGAAGAGAACTGGTTTTCAGGGGGAATGTAGATTCCCAGGAAGTCAACATTAACTGGGTGTTTCTTCCACACACGGTGCAGCACAACCATGAAGGACATCTCCTCCCCCACGGTGATGGTAACATTGCTTTCCTTCTTCACAGAGATGAGGAGCCTGGCAGAGAGGGATCAAAGCACTGGCTCAGTTCAGCTGCCCACACAAAAGCTCTCAGTGCCCTTGAGATTCTCTTGGGCATCCAGAACAACCACTCAGGCATGGCAGAGGTGTCAGATGATCCACCAGAAACCCAGAGCCTTGGGAGTGGCACCCAGAGGTCTGGTAGGAAGGTACCTAATAGAACAGACACTTCATACCCATGTTGAGGCAACCAAATCTTGCTCTACTAATCTAAGCTCTTTTTACAATGAATGGAGATTTTAGAGTCCATCCCGTTGCCTAAACAGGTGTCTAGTAGGTTGTCCAACATGACTGCTAGATGGTAATGTGCACATGCAGGTCTCCTGCATGTTGTGAGTGATGTGTATCATCATGGCAGGAGCCCTGAAGGTATCAAATGGCATTAGGTGCCTGAGGGAGCAGGCAAAAATTGCTCAGCAACTTACTGTTTCCGAATGATGTGCCCTGTGTCAGACCAGCTGAGTGTGGTGGTGTAAGATCCATCTTTCAGCGTTATGGTTTCTGTGGTGATCTCCACTTTCAGGCCTTTGGTTTTGAAATAGAACCCAATTTTGCCAAAGTATGTGCTGAGTTTCTTATTCTTTGCTTTCTTGGCCCCAACAAGCTGCCCATTGACCACAACTCCTGTGAAGGGAGAAAAGAAAAATCTGTCTCAACTTCCTAGAGACTTGGAGTTCTGTTCTCTGGCTGTACTCTGAATTTCACCTGTTACAGCTTGTTTCTTTTGCCTCTTGTCCCTTAGCTATGCATCTTGGAGATGTTTCAGGCTCCATCTTTACCTTCTGGTTAGGTAGTTGAGAACAGCAATGAGATCTACCATGAGTGTTCTTTTCATAAGTTTAACCAAACTCAGTTGTCTCAGCCTCTCCCTCTGTGTCCTCTGCTCCAGCCCCACAATCACCTTAGTGGCCACCACTGGATTTGATCCAGTTTGTTAACATCTTTCTTGTACTGACAAGGTTCAAACTGGACATGATACTGCAAATGTGGAGGGAAATAACCCCTTCCCTCAGCCTGATGGCCACACTCCTGTCAGCATTCCCCCTGCTCTCTCTGCACACCTTTCAGACTCCAGAGAGGAAAAGCGTGTTGTAAAACAAACAATGTTTTATTCCC